CATTCACACATTCACTAGAGCTTGTTCGTCTCAGTTTAGTATGATGAACAATAAAAGTTATGTTAATTAGCAAACGGATAGAAGTAGAGGAGGATTTTTATTCGATTCTATGCTGAATGTTATCATGTGCAGGGCAAATAAAGCATGAATTGAAAAGCTAATAAGTAATGTACAGCTGTCTCGATCTGTTTCAGTCCTCCAATATAATCGAATCAAATGCTCTATTACTCTCATCTATCGAGTTTCTGGTTTCAGAGGCTTTCCAGCCGACTCATAAACCTGGAGGCTGTTGCTGAGATAGGCAAGGTGTGATACCAGCAACAAACTGAAAAACAAACCGTGCTATGTCTTTAATGAAAACAAAACCGGAACGATTTGGTCAGCCGCTTGTTGGTCAAGTGGGCATTAGGCTTTCGTCCCACTAGTGAGGTCCCGCGTTCGATCTTCGGTTAAGTAGATGGGTTGCAACTGTTGGTGAGACCCAATCAGACTGAAACAACTGTCCAGTGTCTCATATATATTCGTTTTACGATTCAGCCATTCTATATACCACGAAACCCGCACTGTTCTTGTGATAGGTCATTCCGAACAACATAGACCAAATGAGAGGAACTACAATCGCTTGCTTTACCTTAGCCTCTAGGTTCCCACATAAACCGATAGTCTGGCTCCTAGGGTTCCTTGATCCGGCTATCTTTCTACCCAAAACAACTACCCAATTGAAAAATATTAAACAACGTTTGATTATTTTCATGAGATTTAGATAAAGTATTATTATAGCATGATGTGTGGAATTCAAACGTCTGTTAGTAATCTCGCCAGTCGGACAGAAGTTACTCTTTTCAAAGATATTTTGCGTAGTAGATACGTCGGAATAACTGAGAAACGACTGTTCTTATAGGAGATCCTATGCCGAAGAATTGCAAGTTTAACGGGACCAAACTTCTTTTCCGTTTCACTCACGCGTCATGCACTAGATTGCAAAGAATGTGACATGTCTAGAAACTCCATTCGTTTCTTCACTTGCCAGAACGGTAGTCTCTCATTACGGTTCGTCGAAGTACCTGCATATCGACGTTACAAATCCGACCTACGTGAACAGATTAAATTCATAACCGGTCTCGTGCTGCCTGGTAGGCGTGGTTATCCTCCTTAGAACGATTGCGTCACCCGCTCTCATGGCCAATCCAGTTTGACTGTGACCTTCGCCCAACTTAGTGATTGATTTGTTTCCGTGTGTTTTTGTGTTCACAAAGTTGTCACTATTTCACCCAAACGTGATCTGAAATTATGTGCACATCTAACGCAATGACGACGAGAGAGTTAAATTTTCACATTCCGTGGTCCTGGATCTTCCTTTGTTCTCATGAAAATTTTAAAAGGAAGTGGTCACATAAAATTGGTTACTGTAGTCGAAAATCTCCTCAGATAGTTTGTATTCCTCCAATATTTATCAGGTTGCTTTTTGTTCAAGGCATAAAATCACTTTGAATCTGCTAATCTAAGACAGATGTCGAGTAAAGTGCCAAGAAATTCAACTTTTAGGCAATTTGTGGTAAAAAGTGACTTTATTCTAAACGGCTAACCTGTTTACACCAACTTAATCGGTTGATCGTTCTTTATTCAAATACATTATTCTGGTTGGGAACACAACTCTTGACCACCCGATGCAAGTGATAAACCACTGAACACTTCCAAAAATTATGACTAAATCGTAAACATATTGATTGAGGAGTGAATATAACTAAGTTTAATTGAGAAGGCATAAGGATGATCAAGAATTGTGGCTTCAGTTAAAGTTTTGCTGTAAAAGTACTGACTGGATCAAGATCTGAAACAAAAACAAATAAATGTTCACTTGTTCGTAGGTGTTTTATATAAGGATGTTTGAAAAAAACATTGCATTGTAGCAGATCCATCTTGAATATGCGCTGAATGCTCTTATTATAACGCCAAGGAATATTCGGGATCCATGAGTAAACTCTCAAAGTTATATTGTGCAGTCCAAGAAGTTTAATAAATAACTTTCAACGTCTTATTACACATTGTATTGCGATAGGTAGGTAATCGATAATCTAAACCCTACGAAGTACCTCAAGGAAACTCAGAAGGATTGACCGTAATTGAAATTTCTTGATCAGGTGATCAACATTATTTCAGCAAATTCTGAAGCCCGTCGTTATGATAATCATCCAGATTGTAGAGAATGCGAAGTTAAAATAAAGAGCTGACAAACACTGTGATCTACATTTCTCATAAATCCATTTCGTCTGATCGTCTGCTCAATAAGAGTATAGTTGAGGTTTTGTTACTTGGTCTAAGAGTTTACTAATATCATGGAGATCCAGTAAGGTATCCATCTGAAAGCAATTTGAGAGTCTCCACTTTCGAAGGTACCGTTTATCCTTTTCAATAAAGAACGTTTTGGAAAATTAAAAAATCATCACAGTACCGTCAAAATCGTATGTCAAACTGTTTACTATTACGTTAGAAGCATGCTATCTTCGTAAAGCGGGTGAAAAAAGTGCAATTGTGATGGAGGAACCGGGCAAGGGCGGAGGGTCAAGCAAGTGAATTGACGACATTATAAAGAAAAGATAATGACGCCGCAAATGATAATAAGTTATTTACAAAGAGCACAAAATGAAAAGATATGAGACAAACGTCATGAAGGTAATTAATCATGTACCTCAAGGCTTTCGCAATCAAAAGTTAGTTAAATCAAGTGTAAGCCAAATTTCCCGAACTGTACCGTCTAGAAAAATTAAAAATAACCTTAACAGCACAACGACCAGTACTGCGAGTGTTTAGTATAAATTCTGGGACCGGCGCGACAGAAAATCTCCAAAAATAGTCCAAAGGATGCTTTCAGGCTTTTTTAATCTAACCGACATGTGGACGCTAAAGAGCGCATAATGGGTTAATTGACACGCAGATAACATTCTTGAACGCTCTTCTGTTTAAATCAATGGCGCACTTATGACAGCTTATAGAAGACAAGGACGTGCCTATTGGAAATGCAACGGTTGTTTTGACAAACCTCTCCCATAATTCCTTTTCAAGATCCAGTTATTAGTAATTTGGGATATCTGCTGATATATGAAAACCAAAGATATGGGGTTGTTATCAGGTCCGTTACTAACAGATACTTTCATTTCCAAACCGAAAAATAACCGACTGAGGGCATCATACAGCAGCATCTATTATAGTGAAGAGAAATGAAACAAATACACCGTTGTATTTCTACAATAACCTGTCCTGGAACAACCCGTGGACCCCTACAAAGTGCACAATAAACATAATAAGTTCTTTAGAATCTGGTGACCGATGAATACATTGCTGCTCATCAATAGAGGATGACCGGTAGAAAAATAGGCATGCACATTCAAAAAGAGTCGATAGCTTGAACTATTCGTTGTGAATAACATTATAATAAATGTACCGCCACCAGAATCAATTACGGCAGAAAAAAAGAGCTATTTAAAAATTCGCCTGCATTAGTCTACCAGCTACTCAGGGACAATCTTAGGTAATCGCTGAACACTATATAAAAATTTATAAGTTTAACTGCTTGTCTTCACCTTGTAAGTTGGTTACCTATCATCCACATATTGCGTTACAACGGGGTCCATGGTTCAGAAGAGAATCGAAAAAGATAACGACATCCAGGGGAGAATTATATATGAGAAAAGAATATTCAGTGCAATCCTAACTCACATCGCAGAGACCAGACATCAAGTTGGTAATTACAATGTGCAAAGAGTAACTCTATTTAGACTGAAGCTTCTAAGAAGACTTCAGTGAATAATAACGGACACAGTAGCAAGTGGACTACTGAAACCATGATTATGTGCACAGAAAAAAACTGGTTCAGTCACTCCAGATGTTTCAATCTTGGGCTGACACAGAAAGTGAAGCGTGACCGCTGTCAGGCAACGATGACGTTAGAAATCGCAACCCATCCTGCCGCATGAAAGTTGACACATTTGCAGACATGCCCTCGAGAGCTTCATTCCATTATGCAGAATGAAAAGCGGTCACTTTTCATCAGCACCCAAAATGTGGATCTCAGATTCGCTACAACTTACAAACCAACTTAAATTTTAACTTATTTTGTATATAAACTCGATTGCCACCGTCAATATGAATACTAAAGATTTCCACTTTAATTTTAGGAAAAATATCGAACAAGCTCTTGTTTGCTAACTTCATACTCCGAGGATTATAGTACTATAAACATGGGAGTGCCAAAGGTCACTAGCATATCTATCCCTCTTTCGTGACCGCTTGCTCATTTCTATGGTGATAATTTTGATGCTGCAAATATAAAACAACGAGCCAGTTTTTGTGGAGATTCCAGGAATGACATTCTGGTATAATGCCTTTCGGTCGACGGAGCACTATTTTTTAGTGCAGTTGTAGACCCTTTGCAAACACTGATTACCTTATGAATGAAGATGAGTTTAAGGTGATCTGTGAGATGCCTCGTGGTCACTTGAAAACCATGCTGGTGCCTGTTACATAGGAATTGTTTGTCTGGTTTTATAGTCTACTGATTTGTTTCCTCTAATGAATTGACAACGTGAAACAGCTGACACGTTGCCGAGTTAAATTCCGTCCAATGACTGAAAATAATTAATTCCATCCACCCTATGACGCGAATGGTTGACAGTAAATCTCATGATTGGGCAAGCTTAGCTTGTATCATCCGAATTATTACCAATGGAACAGCCAGTTTTATTTTCAAACAATCCACCTGATTCATTTTTACTCACAATAGCATCTCAATATTTATAGAATTGTGTTAGCTTGATACTAAAAATATAATAATCTAGTTGATTTGTTGTTTCGTTTGTTTTCACTGTTAGGATACCTTAGATGCAAACCAAAGTATTTAAATATTACACTATTCACCATTTTAAAAGCACTTTGTAAATTTGTGTAAAGTAGTTTCATATGATGAATCGAAATATAGAACCAGTGGAATACCATTGAAATTCTTACTTGTTTTCTGGTGAAACACCTTCTGACTTCGCAAAAAATTGATCGAAATCCAGGGTACCACTGATTTTTTGCCGTTGCAGTGGTCGACGTTTGCGATTCGATGTAACACGAATTTTCTCTTCATTCACGTGTGATTTTGGTGAAAGACTTTTCCTTCGTGACTCATATCCACTGTGACGGGATATTTGCGGGGAGAGTTCTTCGTAAGGACTGCGATTACCACTTGGCCGGGTTGTCTGAACATGTGCAATACTCGGACGTTTTACAGGCATTGTACAATCTGCACGTCGACCGTTTGGGTTCAGCGGCTGACTTTTAGCGGAAGTTGTGGTACTCTGAATGACACTGCTGGTCGCAGTAACTGGATTGGCTGCACCCCGCAGCTTTGTTCGCGGAGCTGTGCTGCGTGTGGTATGTAGGTTTGGAAAATAATGAGATAAGTGGAAGAATAACCGTCTGAGCCAAGGGTAGCAAACATGGCCTTCTACGTGAGTTTTACTGCGACGAAGTTGACGTCGTAGGCGTTCTTTGGAGATTCGTGCATCGCATCGTAAACGCCAGGTTGAAAATCGTCCAGGACATTCGGTGATAGATGATGTTTCTTCAGAATCCGATGGAACTGCCGAGGTTGTGGGCACTTTTGATCTATATTCGATCATGTGACACGAGAAAATGCAAGAAATATTTTAATCATTAGATGGGAAGTCATCAGTGACAGGTTCACGATTTTGTGTTTCTTCACCGGATACAAAGTTTTATAAGTTCAGATATAGCTCGAAAAATCCTATTGCGGGAGTAGTGCGAGCATCTATAGATTATCTGTAAAATCTCTGATGCAAAACCTCGTGTGAAAAACTTTGTGCTTATACAAAATCACGCTAAAAACGTTATTAATTTTCCTGAATTCTTAAACCCATCTAAGGTTAACTTCACGCAGAATCCGTTTCAGAAATAAATATAAAATATATGCTAAACTTGTCATATCCTATGCTTTTTAGGGGTGTTGAATTATTCGTGAGGGTGAGAGATTGAAAATATAATGTCAGAAAACCAAACGGGGTGCAACTTCAGGTGTCTTACGGAATGGTAGGTGCTGATATCAAAGCATGCAGGAAAACATGCGTCATCTGTAAATTGCAACACTCTGGATACCTGCTTCACTTGTTTCTTTCGGTCTTTGAGCCACATTTAGGTGAAAGCGTGATTTAAGCTATCTAAATCAGGACTTTAAATTATAGTGGACTTCAATCGTCAGCACTAGTTTTTCTGATCAATTTCATTGAATGAGCGCCCCTAGTTCAAATTATTAAGGTACATTTTGTCAACTTTTGAATAACAGTAAACACATAAGTAAACAAAAAGAAATCAAAGAAAATTCACTCCTTCCAACATTGCTTTCGCGAAATGGCCAAAGATCTTAAAACGTATTTCATTGTGAATATTGAAGGAATATTTATTTGACAAGGTAACTATCACTGTTCCCCGCATTCAATACTTCGGTTCTGAAATGGTAAACCTATTTTCCAGGTTTATCTAATAGAAAACCTAAATTTATCGCAATCATTTGAGCTTTAAATACAATCGGTTCATTGTATGAGTTTGAGAGTTTACCAGCACGTTTTATAGTAATCTCACCATACCGTCTGAATTAACGCCATTCGAGATTTCTTTTTGTGAATATGGGATACCGAACTCCATCACCGCATGCGTCTATGAATCCGATCTGCGAAATTTTCTTACTTCCACATCAAGTTTAATAACCGTCACTCCCCCATCAGGAAATCTCGGCATGTTCCCCTTTTCAATTTGTGGATATTGAAAACGAACAAAATTATGATCGTCTCTACTTGGTTCCACTTTTTCCCACCTAATAATTTGTTTCCTAATGCATGTCTGATTGGTCATAAAAAAGTAGTAATTTTGACTATGTGAACATTAGGATTGAAACACTTATTTTTCAGTGGTACTCGCCCACAGATAATCTCATGTTTAGCGCTGTGCGTGTCAATGTATATACTTCTGAGTACTACTTACCGTGAATGAGAAAAGCATCTTTGATGTATTAATCGGTGGCAATTCAACGCAATATTTCAATGACCCCAAAATAATTGAGTGATTCAATAAACCTAACGCATAGAAATACCATGACATGACGAAGGATATCAACACGTTATGGTGATGTGTGTGGATAAATATGCAAGTTAAGTCAATACCGAAACAATGGGGCACATAAGAACAATCGAGAAGCGAAATTTTAGCAGAATACAACTTTCACCTTTTAGGTCACAAGCTGCGGGTGTACATATCACTCTGTTATGTTGGTTTTAAGCCGATTTTGTTGCAAATTAAATGAAACCCTCCAATGACCGTTTTTCGTTCATTGCGGAAGATAGCCGGTTTTTATTTTTGCAATGTGTACTCATGGGTTAGGTGGCTTAATAGCTGAATACTTCCATAAATAATGACAAATTTCGTTTACAGTCAGTCGGCTGTTTTGTATTTCATGTTTCTGTTTTATTAGGTCCCAGCGAATTGATTGCCATTCCTACTCCAGATTGTTATGCACTGTGAACATGTATTGTGTTGCCAACACAACTCCTGTTTTTTTTAATGCATTTTAAAAGGCGGGGAATGAGGAGCATTGATTCTCTGTTTTTGCGGAAACAGGCAAGTGCACGCCATCTATTTGGTTCTTGAATTGAAACGTTCGGCAAATTTTCACAGCCAGCAAACTCACTGAACACTGATATTGACACTTAAGGGACAAAGTCATTCCGTGTCTATCTTTGATCCATTTGACCGTTATTAGTGCCTTTACATACAGAAAGAATGTTGTCAAGCTGATTGTTTTTCCATTGTGCTAGTTCAATTAGACACAATGTGAGTAAAGTGTTTAGAATAAATTTAAAGAAAACAAATCAAGCACTGGAAGCATTGGAAAAACAATAAATCAAAAACATTTGATATTTTCATTAATTAATATACTTCACGGGATATCCAGAATGCATTATACAGATTTAATATCGGTCATAGAACTCCTGTACTACCAAACTGAAACTTCAATTAACTGATCAGCTAATGACTAACGGTGACTTATTTAAATGAGCGTTTCGTTGTAACCCCTCCTTGTTTGGCCTTAACGAACTTTGTTCAAAAGAGAATATTTCAAGGCAGAACAGAGAATATGCCCATGAAGGCCTGTTTTATAACTAATCATTGTTTAAACTATCTTGCGGCGTTTCTAAGACAAATTGAAATGACGCATTCGGAAATGAGCAGTTGTACTCAGTGTCTGCAATACTATATTCGTTTGACTTGTTTCAAATGTGGTTGGTTATTGAGTTATAGGGTATTTTAGTTAAAATTGTATATATATATATACCTGGGATTGAATGGTCTCCTTGAGATCTAAAAGGGTGAGTGCGTGCTTAGTGTTCATTTCCGTTGAGAACAACCGAGGATTGCTCCTGAGCATAATTTAAAGCATTGTTTACTCACTTTCCCTTTCCGCACCTAGTTTTGCTCCTCACTCATGACATCTAACTTAATCTAACTATTCGAACTGTTTGTGCGTCACATTATCCCCATTTGTCATGCACATGCACAGACGTGATGCACGCACTCACTGGACTTGAACGGATGCTGAGTATTCATGCCTCGACAAATGATGGTGTGAAATTACAAAATTAAATACTCCGAAGTATAGTTAGGTGTTATCAAGATTCAACAGTTAAATAAGAATCCTAGTCAATCTAATCTAAGGTTTTTATAATTTATATAATGTATATATTCAGATAAATGGAGGAGAATATAACTGAAACTGAAAGTTCCTTAGAACTATGGAATAAAATCGTCTTCTATTATTCTGACGAGCCAATCTTATATATTGTGCAGTTTCATATCCCAAAATTTATGAAATTATGCTACCAGGGACGTTAATGACTAATTGCATTGAAATATAAAGCCATCCTGTATTGCAAATTGAATTAGGATGTAGACTCAATATTAGCTACCCCAAAAGTGAACTTTGGTGAACGTTGATAAACTGTACAAATTATGGCGGAATATTAATAATGTGATTTTCTGTGTGACTGTCACTTCTTAGTTGGTGGCTTGATTTATCAGTTACATTTACCACATAGTTACTTGTCAGTCACGGTGTGGGGTGGAAGTTACTGTTCTGAGTGAGCAAAATCCAGATCACATTTGAACACGTTCATGTTCGTACTTCCGGACAGCTCCTGCTTGTGTGAGCTATGCTTGAAGAATATGAATTGAATTGCACAACCAGTAAAGTCTTTACAAGTAACTCCTAACTTTTGTCTGAAAAACATTCCTCTATCAGGAAGTTTTAAGCATTTTTGCGTCAGTATTTTACGAAGCCATCCACTGGTGCTTTTAAGGATCACGTCTCCTGTGCTTTCACGAATTCGCTTTGTGGGGTAAACACTTTTTCAACGAATAAACCATAGTGCCTTATATACAATTCACTTTAGTTACCATACAAATAAGTAAAATCAATACGTCATTGTGGCCTATCAATTGAGGAAATAGAAACAATTAGTTGAATTAAATGATATATGTTCGGGTATTATGCTTCATGAAAACGTAATTAGACGTTACGCCCTCTTTGGTTTGAAATCAAACCTGACCGAAATGATTTAGACACAGGATAGAGATCGAGATCGGTAACAACTCTCAATTTCCTTATTAACGCTTGACGTGTATACGCAAAACGGATTGAATTGGGAATTCATAAGCTGATCAAGGTCACGTCTTTGGCGTCATTCCTTTTATTACGAGTTACACAGGCAGCCCAGAATTCAGTACAGCTTGTCGGTGCAGTTGATGTTTATTCTCCAATGCTTTCTGATTGTGACAAGCACAACCCATGGGTAATTAGCATTCAAAACTCTCATATCATGATGGAAGTCTCATGGTCATTCCTGATTGGTTTACACGGATTGTATGAGCAAAATTGCATTTTAAACACTGGTGGAACTCTCCTATTGGGCCACTATGGAAATATCTTTATTTCAACATCGTTTAATGGAACCACGTTACTTGAGGAGGGAAAGTGCAGATGTTTCGGATTATAACAACGTACGTTTTTCGATTACCGAAATAAGAAAAATATTTCGCAAGTTAACTGATCAGAATGTAGAACAGTTTTTGATGAGCTGTAAAATAGGTGTTATTTAACTGTAGTACAGTATCATCTCTTTTAGTCGAATTCATCTATTTAGACTTTAGAAAAGACGTTGATATGTTAATGCCGAGGAAGGATGTCATATTAAAGAACGTGATATGACTAAGAGGTCTCTTTATTTTAAGAGAAGGGAACACAAAAATCCAGTTCATAGAGCGTAGAGTGCGCAGTTAATGAACTAATCTTTCTGATAGATCGGCATAAAGAAGACACCGGATTCTTCGAATTACAGATTTGTTGAAAAATTTTGGTACATTACTTTATTTATGGAATAAGTTCGAATTTGTCCTTAACTGGCAAGTTATATACATTACTGGCACCATTATATAACAAAATGAGCAGTGGATAGTGAGGTGATGACTCGTTTCACGAATACCATAGCGAATCAAGTCCCTGTCAGTACGTGTTCTTCAGACTGTAAAGGATTAAACATACTTAAGTATTTTCCTC